TTGCACCATCACACGATGAAATTCAAAAACAACAGGAGCCCTAAAAGTGAACAAGTAAAAACCTCATCTCAATAATGAATACAATTATCAGAAGAGCATAAATAGAGCGGTTCCACCAATCTTAAACAAATATCATCATATCTAAATGTCATATGCTCAAGAGATCCTCATCATGATGATATGTGTGATTATTATAAAACCGTAACAAAAGGGTTTAGCAACAAGAAAATTACCCTGAAACTCAAAGACAAATAGACCCGGGGCTTATCATCATTAATGGGTAGAATTACCAGAAGAATGCACTTGGAGGAGTTTACCAATGTCAATTGCAATGCCAAATGTATGAGATATAGTAGGGGATAACACAAAATACTGAAGCCCCACTTTCCAACTAACAATTATTCCCTAAGGCTCCACCAAGATTTCAGATTCTTCCATTTTCCTAATGATTTTGAGTTGACATTTAGATACAAAATGAAACGCCCCTAAAATCAAATGAAAAATCCTTAAGGGATACAACTCTCAATGGGAAAGATCAAAACAAATCTCAACCTGAAGGAACCTTATTTTTTGCCTCCACCTTCCTCATTATGAATATACTGCTCCACTCCAAATGCAACAACAAGATTTTTTATCAAGGTCTCATATCAAAAAATACATCTCCAACCGTGCTCTATTTTTACAAAAATTGGAAAAATTATAGCTCAACTTGACTATTGTCTATACAGCAGGTTTAAGACTAAAAAATTAAACGCTAAAACCACTTTGAGAAATAGATATGTGCACTGCTTCATTGACAAATAACAGGTTCTTACTTTCAAGCTGTTATTCGTAGTTCTGCAGTACCAATTAGATTGGATTGCAAACTACTATTAATGCTTGTAGTTTGGTACTACTAGTTATCATGTACTGCTCAAAGAAGAAGAAAGAGGAAATATATTGACACCAAAGATCTAAGGTTAAACGGTACTTGAAAGCGGACAACACTTCTTACTTTCACAAAATTGCTAAATGAAATAGAAAATACAGCTTCATTCAACATATTAAGCAAGACAACACTTCTGAAGAATATATCATTCAAGCTTTGAGTAATTTTTACAAGGATGTCTTCTACAACATCAACATAGCCTCTCATGAGATTGATTTATTCAAGCTTTATCCGGATGATGGCTTTCCTTGTTGCTGGTAGGATTCTCCATTAACTTTGGATGACTTCAGAGGAGCAATCTCTTCTTCTCTTGATGCATCTAATCTTCTAGCCCAAATGGTTTCTCCGTTAAATTCTTTCAAACCATGTCAGATACAATTTTCCTTTACGTTATGAAAATATTTGATGATATTGATTGAGGTAATGCTTGCATAGAAAGATTTAATTGTCCTAATTTTTCTTATGCTTGAAAAGGTAGAATGTGAATTTTAAAGATTTTAGACTCATTAATCTACTTAATGGTGCCTTCATAATCTTCACCAAAGTCCACACTAACAGACTTAAAGATTTTATGCCTACACTAGATGATTCTTTTGAAGAGGCCATCATTAACAAGATAAGTACCATAGAATGTATTATTGCAGCTCATGAAATTATTCATCATATTTTTAGGCTTAAGTAAGAAAAGTTCATCTTTAAAGCTGAATTGAAAGTGCATTTCATAGTTGTAAATAAAATTTTATTTTTAATAAGCTTGTCGTACAACTATTTTCTCACTTCATTTATTGGGTTAAGGAATCAATGTGCTGTCAACTCTCATGTTATTGTCAATGGAGACCTCAATAAACAATTCAGGCCCTTTTTCTCCTTTTCTTTTAATATCATGCTTAAAATTCTTCACAAAAAAAAAAGATCTTTGTTGCGTTTAATGCTAATTGGATTGGAGTTCATTTTAGCACCAGAAAGCCTCCTTTCACTAGGATTCAATTTGCATTTGACATTCTTTTATTATGTGAAGTATACGAACATCGAAGACTCTATCTCAAGCATATTACCTCTTTATTCGAAGGCATTTCAGTTTTGAAAATCAACTAGAATAAATCCCCCTTAATCTGAGTAATAATGGTGGCAAAGGAAAAACTCTTGAAGTTTTATTAGGTTGTTGCATAGAAAAACTTTCCTTCAAGCACATGAGCGAAAATCTTGGTGCCAAAAGATTGCAAATAACTTTTCAAATCCTAAAATTGATTAAATTCATCTCAAATATCTTTTTTCTAATCTATAAATTGATAAAATTCATCTCAAACTTGCAGATTGAAAATGTATCACATTTTTCAAAGAGCATAAGATTAATCTAAAAATATTTCCTCATCAACTGAGCCCTTGCTTCTATGTCTTCCTACTATATTTCCTCATTTTTATGAGCATTGTTTTTCTCAATATCCTCTATGTTCTTCTCTCAAATTAATCTAAAAATATTTGAGTGCATTACTTATGTCCACATTCTCAAATAACCTCGGGACAAGCTTGATCCTAGAGTACTCCAACGTATCTTTGTAAGGTATTCCTCCACTCAAAAGAGTACAAACATTATTATCCAATTACCAAAAAATCATTCACTTCAAAAGATTTCACCTTTAATGAAAAATAAAATTTTCAATTAAACTCATCTTCAAGGGGAGAACAACCAACTAAAAGACAAGTTTGATGAAACCACTCTCTTTCATCTTGACATCCCAACTATGCAATCTGCAATCACTATATCCTTTTAGGTCTATGCAAGGAGGAATAAGACCAATCAAAGTCTCCAACAAGGTCAATACTCAAAATCATAATTAGGTAATAATGATTAATCCATCAACACAAATTATCCACTGTCTCATTTCCCAATACACATCTCTTCAATTTTTTTTTCCTACACATAAAACTTTCCTTAAAATCATGAACTCCAATTCCACTAAAATAACACAAACCATGTTTGAGATAATAGAAAGCAAGGTTTGTAAGAATGTTATGAAATAACAGATAAATGCCTTGGAAAAAGATCACAATTAGAATATCACTGAGCTATTATCAAAATGAAAAAAAAAATTGAAGGGTGCAAATTGATCTTTTTATTTAATTGCATAGTAAATGAAAGCCTAGAGGGATACAAAGCAAGATTAGTTACCAAATGATATATTCAATATACTATCCAGAAGCATTTCCTCGTGTTGCAAAATTGAAAAAAAAAATTGCCTTTTAATTCCTTTTTATTATTAACCTTGGATGACCCATGCAACAATATGATATGAAGAATGCTTTCTTAAATGTGGCTATTGAAGAAAATTTTTATATGGATTCTCCATTAAAATTAGATACCTACAAAAAATAAGTTGTGCTGAATTTAAAAAAAAAACAATTTATCGTATAGCAATCATTGGGAGCAAGATTTGGAAAATTTATAAAAGCCATGTATGAAATGGAGTACAAATAAAGTCAAGAAGCCCATACTTTCATCATAAACTACTCCACTGATAGAAAATTTTCAATTCACATTATATA